AGTATAATTTTTTAAACTTGAGAGGAGATGAATAAAATTGTCAGAAACCTCAAGGGAGGTTTCTGAAATTATCCCATTTCAGTCTACTTTTTGGCATAAAAAGGAAAAAAATTCAATCAACTTTGGTTAGCTTACTTAAAGTAGACACCAGCCCCGTATCCACAAAAGCAATTTTAACGTTGAATTTTCAAATGTAATGGTGGACTTATGGACTAATCGCTCGAGATTGGCTTAATGAAAAGGACATTCGTGTCAATTTGCAGTGACTATAAAAGTCTAGCATGTTAGCCAGCAGCAATAACATCACAAAAAAGTGTATAACTGTATATAAAACGCGCGTGTTTGTGAATAAATAAAGATTAGGATTTTTCTGTTTAAGTTTAATTTGAGGTAAGAATATCCGGACTTGCTCAATTTACGATAATTGTGAGGACAATCAAAATTATGGTATATATAAACCTTTTATGTTTAGATCCAGCAACATAGCTTATATGATCTTAATTGTTGCTACTGTGCCAAATTCTAGGTTAAATGGCTCGATAAATGCTATGTTTTCAGATTTGGACCAGATATTGAGTTGATTAAGATCAAGAGTCAAGGGTTAATGAATTCAACCAGCTTCAATTGGAGCCAAATCAAATGACATCATAAATATGTCATAAATATTTATTAATAATATATAATCAAAATAAGATATAAAATTTATTTTTAAATTGGTAATTTACGACTTCATAAGTTTAGATTGATATATCAAGGTCATCCTCGTAGATGCCATAACGTCAATGTGGTGTTATTAATAAAAATTATTTAGAAATTAAAATATTATGTAAAATATCTAAAAGCATGCTAACAACAATAAAGATGTATACATATGTGTTTGATATTTCAAAGCTATTTAACAAGAAAGTGCAAAGAAATTAGAACAATCAAATAACAATTTATATAATTCAATGCATATTTACAAGTTTAAAGTTAAATTTATGGAGAATATTTATAGATTATGAAACATTTCTAGGTATGTTAATAGTTTTTAATACCCAAGGGGTTATAACACAATATTGAAAAAGTTTTTTGAACCCTACGTTAATATTACTCCAATTCCTTCCTCTTTTTCCTCTAGCCGCCGACAAAGGCTTTTCTACTATTGTGCCATCTTTTCTTGTTCCTGTTCTCCAGCCGTTCATTCCACTCTTCCTTTTTCTTTTTTTTAAAAAAAAAAAATCCAAAGAAGGATAGAAGCATCATAAGCTCTCAAGCCTCAAGTCCATCGATGGCAAAAGCTCTTAGGCAGCCACTCCGAATGTTTTGAGAAACATTTCCCCAGTGTTTTGAGATTGACAAATTTGAAGAGGTTGAGCAATCTTTAAGTTCTTCCAACGACATTTTTGAAGATGCTCTTGATTTTTTAGTTCTCTTGACATGGATTCATTGCAAGAGTAAGCTTTACAATAGACATTGATGTCTTGCCTGTTTTGGGTAGAACTGTAAACGAATCGAATCGAATCGAGTATCTCATGTTTGAACGCTGTTCGTTAAGCGATTCAAACAAGATTCGTGTTCGTTCGTTAACTTTTGAACTCCAAATCTATATTCATATTTGGCTCGTTAAGCAAAATTCATGTTCAACTTCAAGTTTGAATTCGTATTTGACTCGTTTAACATAAACGAATCATTTACGAACATATTCGAAAAGCTTGAATCCAGATTATTTTAAGTGTTAAATATGTCATACAAATCATTAATCATCCTCAAAAGCAATTAAAGCACTAAGTGACTAAATTCTATTATTTATTAACTATATAACCAACCTTAACATAAAAACAACAAATAAAACAAAGCAATTTGCCCTCCAAATATAAAAGTCCAGCCATAAAATTAATCCTAAAATTTGTCAGATAACAATTATATCTATGTTCACGAATGTTCGTCAAAACTGGCAAACAAGCTCGTGTTTGCTCAATTATTAATCAAACAAAAAAAATCATTTGAATTTGGTTCGTTTTAGGTTTCGAATGAGCCTTTCACGAATACAAACGAATCGAAATGAACAGAGCTACCGAATAGTTCGGTTCGTTTAATAGCTCTAGTTCTGGGTTCTAATTGCAACTTCAAGAACAAAATGTACATGCGCAGTCTTGTCCATTCTTTATGCTTTTCATTTTTTTTTTGAGTTTTTATTTCCATTCTTATTTCTTTTTAGGATTTCCATTCTTATATCCTTAGATATTTATTTTCAAAACTAACAAATAATCAAACTTTTATCTTTTTTCTTCAAACTGCTTTTTCTTCATCTCTTTTCTTTTTTTTTTTTTGGTCTTTTCCCCATATCTAAGATTAAATCTTATTTAGAAAAAGATATCAAGCACTGATTGTGGTGGCTAAATTGAAGGAGTGGAAGAGGTGAAAATGGGTTTGTACTTCATAGAGAGGTGAGAGGTGAGAGATCAGTAGGGATTTAGATCAAAGGCAAAGAAAAAAAAAAGCAACAAAAAGGGAAAATAAAAAAATCGGGTTCTTATCGGTTTATCAGTTTCCGGTCAAATCTGGATTTGACCGAGTTTCTGCCAACCAAGTTTTTAGGATAATTTAGATAGAGCACTTGACCGGCTTTCGGTTAGACCGGCCGGTCCGATTCAAGTTTAAAAACACTAGATAAATGTGGCGATAGCAAAAGTGCAGTTATGTTTAAAATAATATTAAAATAAACATATTTTGATGTTACTTTGTGCCCAATTACTTTTCAATTCCTAAACTATTCACAATTCAAGAGAAATAGAAAATTTTTAGAGTATGCCTAATCAATAATCTACCCTAACCAATATTACTCCTACAGTATAGCGAGTTTTCGGGTTAGCAGAATGTGTTTGGTTTACACATTATTTACACACACTGATTTACTTGTATCATCAACACATTTTTCAATCATTTTTTTATCTCACATACATCATATCAAAATAAATGTAACAATATTTTTTAAAAAAAAATTATCCCAAATAATCTCCTATCCAAACATACTAACCTGAAAATTTTTTTGTCTAGAATCTGTTATATCCGCTAATTCAAAAATCTGTCATATTTGATTTGATCCGATTCGAAAATTAGGATACCTGATCCATATTATTTGATTGGGTCGAAAGAGGATCAGGTACCTATTTAGATTTGCGTGGGGGTTAGGGTAACATAATTAAAGACTCGCAGGTATTCGATCCACCCCGCATATATATTTTTTATTTTTTATATTTTTATACACATATTATAAAATAATCTTTTTAGAATTAAATAAACAATTTCATTGAACAAATTGCATTTCAAATATGAAAAACTATAGTTTGTTTACAAGATTCATTTGTAGCGATCATAATCTTATTTTTTTTAGAAAAGAGTTTAATTAATGTGAAATATATAATTAAAAAACTACTTATTTCAAAATTTTGTTGATTTTAAATTCTTTTAATTTTTGTCCTTTTTATTGTATCTATCTATGCATGTTTGTTTTGTAGTGGGACCCTCTTTTTGAAAAAAAAAAAAGTCTTCATTAAATTTTAGATGAATATGTAAAATATAAAAAAAATAGTATAAATCATTTTTTAAAAAAATTTAAATGACAAGAGGGATGGGACAAATACTCACTGATCCAAACCTATCTCAAGCGGTGGGCACGAGTCGGGTACCCATCCCTAACATAATTTGGTTGACCCGACCATAATATATTTGATCAATCATTTTGTGACCCTAAACCACTCCTAATATTTTCGGGTACGCAAAAAAAGGAGTGGGTCATAGGATACCCGCCCTTAAAAGAAATATTTTCCAATAAAAAAATTGCTTTGCGCTTAATATCAACAAATTTTTCAATTTAAAAAAAACATGTTTTCCAATTAATATTGGTAGAGATATTGTAAACATTGTCCATACATCACCAATCTCACATATTTCATCCAACAATCAAACTGATCTCATAAATTTAGTACATATTAGAATTAAAATATCTAATAGAAAAAAGGAAATTTCATATTAATTTTGAGTACATCACCATTCTCACACATTTCATCCTTCTACAACACAACGAACACAAGAATAATAAGTATCCGGTAGCTTCCCCAACTTCCTTAAGGATGTTATGGTACAAAACTGCACTCCAATTGAGTCGACTGTGGAATCAAATCAAGAAAAGAATTGAATAGAGTTAATTATTTTTGGAGAAAGTATAACCAAAAAAAGCGTGAAAAATCTTTCCCAATTTTCTTACATCTTTGGAATAGACCTTATGGCATTAAAGGTGATGAAAAAGAAAAATAAATTTCTTACACTAAAATAAAAGAGACAAATTTAAGAGACATAATTACAATAAAATAAATCAAATAAATAAATAAATGAGAGACACAAATGTTTTAATTATCTAGCTAACAGAAAATTGGAACTCCAAACACAAATCTTTGATTGAATTGATGAAAAATTTGCAGGAAAGATCAATGAAGGTAGAATAAAAATAAAAATGATCAAAGGTATAAATAATTTTTATGATAAAGTTTCACAAATTTTTTTTCATTTTGTTCATTTGATTCAGGTTTCACCGAGAATATTCGCTCTCTTCAAACAATATAAGGAAAGGCGGATCATATGTTATTAGAATATGAGATTGTGAGCCACTCCACTTACATTTAGGATTAAAAATTATAAAATGATCCCTAATTCTTTTAATGTTTATATAATATACCCTACGGGTCGGGTACCCGCGAATGTTTATTTTTATGATCCATATTCATATCCGTTTTCGTGGGTACCCAATCCTCATCTGCCCCACTAAGAAAAATTGGATAGAATATTCTATTTTTTTCGGGTCGGATCGAATTCGCCGAGTTTTTGAATCGACGGATTTTTTTGTCCATCCCTAACTGCTGCTATGCGGATTGGATAAGCGTCAAAAAATGATTGAGCCATAAGATGCAGGGTGCACCGAATGAGTATCCGACCCGTGTTAACCTCTAATTGCAGCCAACCGAGCCGGCCAACTACGGGAATAATTAGAAAATAAATGGCTTATCCACAATCCAGACACAATTCTTAAACCCACCAAAAACCTCCACTCCCAAATGGGGCAATTACAAGCAGCGCAATTTAAGGCGTGAGAATCCATCGGATATCTCTCTGTCCATGCGTAGCAGTACTCAGTATTATTCTTGTCATATCCCTGAAAACGTTGGCTACCTTTGTAAGTTTTGGTGTTGCTGAGACCGTCTATAAGATATTTGATTTTATGTTTGTTTGAACTTAGAAGACCCTTTACTTTTGTGTTTATCGTTCACTTGGAAATTTGCCACTCAACTGTTCATTTAACTCGGGATTTGCTTCTTTTTTATTATTGATAAATTGGAGTCTCTTTACTTGATGCTCTCTATTTTGTCTAATTACTTCTACTTGGTTCTTTTAATTTTGTGGAAATTACTGGCTTCAATTCTTTTTACAATTGATTCTTTCAGCATTTACTTGACTCATGCTACATTTCTTCCGTTGTCATGTTGGGTTTTTTTTTTAGGGGTAGTTTTCTGGTCGTTTTGGTGGGGACTGGTGACGTCTGGGTAGACCATGTTGCGATATGTGACAACGAAATTGCAAATTTCCAGGGACTGGATATAGTGAAAAAAGGCTCATCCTTTGGTTGGACATAGAACTTACTATTAAAGAATTGATTTGTCTTTGTTTTAGCCAGCATATTCGTGTTTTTTACCTAAATTTTGAACTTGTGCTGTGTCTATGAATGGCAGCAGGGTAAACTTTCTGTTCTGTTCAGCTGTGTTTTCGTAAGGAGAAATTTTACAAAAAGATCCTGTGAAAGATCTGAACTTTGACTTTATTGAAGTGAAAACAAAGAAATGCTCGTTGCTACATTAAATACTAGCCTTCCCTTCCTCTCTTTTTCATCATTTTCATCCTGTGATACAATCGTTCAAGCTATATGTAGCTATCCACGTTGTTCAAATGTCTTGTTTCCACATTGGCGGGAACACAAGCTGTTATCTAGAAGTCTGATTTGTTTAGCCAGCTCGAAGAATGCTGGTTCAAGTCCTGTTCCTAATGCCAGCCAGAATCCTGATTCAAAACCTAAAAAGCCAAATCCCCGGACACGTGAATCTAAAGCACCCAAAGATAAAGATAAAAATCTGAAGAATATATTCCCCACGACAATTCCTAAAAAGCCAAGGCGTGGTCGTAGGAGTGAAGCAGCTGCAGTTGAGGATTTTATTCGTGATTCTCTGGAGCGGACATTTGCATCAATCAAAGAACAGGATTTTGAAATCCTGAAAGACAAGGAAAGCATCATAAAGGAGAGGGTAGATGAGGAGAGTGGTTCTGATCATAGTAGTGACGATGAAGATCATGATAATGGGAGTAGAGAGAAAAACATGGTAATGGAGGAGGAGGATCCAAATTGGCCTCTCGATGCAGATGTGGGCTGGGGAATTAGGGCATCAGAATATTTTGAGCAGCATCCCATCAGAAATGTTGTTGGAGAAGATGGTGTTGAGATTGATTGGGAAGGGGAGATTGATTATGGGTTGGTCAAGGAGATAAATTGTCTTGAATGGGAAAGCTTTGCATTTCGTCCAAGCCCCTTAATTGTTCTTGTTTTTGAAAGATACAACAGGCAAGTGATAACATTTTAACCTTTAATACATCATGCCTTTGAACATCACTCAGAGTTGATTGCCTGCTTAGTGTTTGTTAGACTCAATTAAATACTTGAGATCATTTTCCATTCTCTTTGCTCGCTCCCATCTACCTGAAACCTTATATTCCTTTAATGTATCTCATATTGTAATTCAAAATGCAGGGCAAGTGAAAACTGGAAAGTTTTGAAGGAGCTTGAGAAAGCAGCAGAGGTCTTTTGGAAAGCCAAGGAACGGTTGCCTCCTCGGGTTTGTCATACTCTTCATTTTTCCATTTTATGGATACGCATCATGTTTGGTCTTCCATGTGATATTATTACCTCATCAGGACATTAATTAACACAAGCACTTAATTTATTCATTTAGTGTAATGCAATCGATCTCCTTGAACGTGTGCCAATAGTATCATCAAGTTTTGACTGTTACACTCCGTAAACAGACATTAAAGCTAGACATCAACATTGAGAGGGATCTGGCATATGCTCTTAAAGTTAAAGAATGTCCACAAATATTGTTCTTACGCGGTAACCGGATATTGTACAGGGAAAAAGGTACTGCATCATCTCCTTTTTATGCTATAAATACTTGATACTGCTACGAGGAAATTTCATGCCTTTCTAAATGCTGACACAATTTGCAGAGCCACGGAGATCTGATGAGCTGGTACAGATGATTGCACATTTCTATTATAATGCAAAAAAGCCTATGTGCATTAATGATGCTTTTTTGTCTCCACCATGTTAGTTAAGTGGAGGTACTTCTGTCACCCCTACATGCACCATCCTTTTGGCATTTCCTGCCTGTGTTATCTTTTGGGTATTGTTCAAATTTAGAACATTTATCTCAAGTGAAGTTGTTGAAATCTGCAGGAACAGTTGAACCATTCATTGATAACATGGATAACATGGTTGATAAGCGATACCGTCTGAAAGTTCCCTTTGATGTTAGCAATTCCAAAGGGAGAAAAGTTGCTAAGCAATTGCACTCCAAGTAAATGAACTGGCACCTCTTAGTAGATAAGAATGTATTGTACTCTAAATTGCTGTATTTCCCTGGCTTACGCCTCAAGCAAGTTAATTGTACCTCCTCATTTCTCCTCCTTTCCTCACAACCACCAGGGAGAGTTTAGCTACTCGTAGATTTGCTGTATATTTAGAAACTAGATCTCTGTTGTCTATGTACATTTCTTACTGGTTGTGTTTAATATGAACCAACTTGAGTAGACTTATCCTCAAGGTGTGAACTTAGCCTATATTTGTCACATGACAGCAGTAGTTTTTCCAATCTGGCTCTATGAATATAACTGATGAAACTAGCCTCTGGAACCCTATGCGAGTATCTGAAATGGACCTGTAAAGGTAAATGACGAAACTCATTCTGTCGACTTTTAGCCAACTCTCTCTCTCTCTCCTCTTTTTTTTTTTTACCCAAAGTATTCTGGGTAATGCTGCTGGTCTATCTGGCCAGTATCAAAGTCCTTTGTTGAGGCTGCAAGTTCGAGTTGTTTGAGGCTTGGAGAAGGGGGTTCTTGAGGGAGAATAGAGCCCTTGACCTTTTTCAATTCAGAACTAGCCTCTTTAGAGTTGAGATGGTTCTCCATCCCCGCGTAGCAAAGAACGCGGAAGCACTTTGCAATGGCAGATTTTTTGTGCTATACAGACCTTACTGCTTCTGAATGATTTACAATGTGGGAGCAATGCCTCAAGTCATATTGTGATGAGAGCACCAAATTTAGAGATAATGACTTGCAGATGTCAAGATCTTGAAACTCAAGTGGTCACCATTATTGGAAGCAATCTATTAGTTTTGATAACATTTTTGTAGCTGTGGCATCACAAGGATATAAGATTGATAATAGTACACTCGAGGAGAATCATTTTTTGGTGTAAATAATGCTGCTATCAATAAAATGTCTCTAATCTGCTATAATGCCCCTTAAAGCTCATGTTACTATCAATCAAATTAATGTATTGAAAAGTTCTCTTTGGATTTGCATAAATTGTACGGAAGAAAAGCTCGGGTAATTCTACTTGTAATTTGGAATTTTCATCCTAAATGCTTCATATACTTGGAATCGCTCCATTGACCATTGAGCCACCTCTTGGAGAATTATATAAACCACATCTGACTTCTGCGAAACCTAAGCTGGAAAGGTACACCAAGACATGCTGATCTTTTTCATGAACGTGCTCTTTAAATTTTGCCGCCTTCTTTTCCTATCCAGGAATTGTGGTTATGCTCATGGTTTGTGATTACTCCACTTACATTTATTAACTGTAAGAAATGTAATATGGAATTTTTCGTGCGTTCTTCAGCTAATTGACTAGTCTGTTCTTGGTCATCTGGTTGTCCAAGCTTTTAGTGTTAGTCTTTATCTTTTATTTCATTTTTGCTTCTTCTTGTTTCGACTGATCTTCTAATTCAATGCAGTTCATAATTTAGTACTCATAAACAAAGCTGTTCAAGATCTACATCTGTTCAATTAAGGCTCTCTTTTCAAATATTGTGACACAATCTGAACCATTGAATCTTTGAAAATCTGATCTATTTAGATGTGAACAAAAGAGAAAACTTGATTGCTTAAAAGGTTCTACACATTGCAAATTTTACTTTTAAAAAAAAAATTCTCTCAGCATAGTTTTACACTTGAAATCAATCGTATTTTTTTTTTTTTTAAGTGGGAAATCTAGGGTGGCATATGGTCCAGAGCAAAATTATGGCGTTGGTCAATGGTTTCCCTATGCTAGAACGGTGCTCTTAAACAGTCAGCACCGTTCCTGCCCTATAGGTTCTGTGCTGCTGCTTGGTGGTTTCTAATTTCTACCTACTTCGTCAGGGTGCATAAGCTTTTGGGCTGGTGGAAGAAAACACCTTGCAGCTGGGGAATCATTGTCAGTGGACAACCTGTTTCTGTTATGACCCAGTCATGAGTGGGCTTCGTGGACTGGTTCATAAACATCTTTCTGGTCCATCTGTGGCCCTTATATAATTTATGTAATTTTCCTCGTAACCATGGACGCTGGCATCTTGGACCTGTTAATATTTATAGCCTTACGTAATTTTCCTTGTAATTAACCAAAGAGTTTCAGCACTATTAATACCCACACTTTTCTAGTTTCCATTGCCCCATGAATCGTTTGCTTGTTTGATATTGGAGCTTTTAACATAATTCCGATGGATGCTAGAAGTCCAACGACAATTCATTTTGAAGATCTGTTGCCTACTATGGCCGATAAGCTAGGAGGTGAGGGATTGATCAAAGAGCTATGTAATGGATTTCAGCTGCTCATGGACGGTAAAAAGGGCTTGATCACCTTTGACAGCCTCAAGAAAAAATCTGCTCTTCTTGGATTGCAAGATTTCCAGGACGAGGAGATCAAAAGCATGATTAAAGAGGGAGATTTGGACGGTGATGGTGCACTTAACCAGCTGGAGTTTTGCATGTTGATGTTCAGGTTGAGTCCTGAGCTAACGGGTGGTGCTGGAAGATTGCTAGAAGAAGCCTTTCCACAGATTTGATGCGATGATTGCTCCTTTTGAGCACTTTTTCTTTCTTTTGCTTTTATGTTTGGAAATTGTCCGACTGCTGAGGAAGGATTGGTAATTGATTGAAAGATTAGACGAGTGGAGAAGTGAAGATGATGGATTCCTTGTTCAACACCATGTCATGTCTCCATGCCCGTTAAAGCCATAAAGCTTGCGCCTAACATGATTGATATTCCTGCTTTTTCTTGCTTACTTTTCGTGAATGTTTCTAGCATGGAGAAACCATTGACCAACGCCATAATTTTGCTCTGGACCATATGCCACCCTAGATTACCTACTGAAAAAAAAAAAAGTTACGATTGACTTCAAGTGTAAAACTATGCTGAGAGATGATTTTTTTTTTTTTATAAATAAAATTTGTAATGTATAGAACCTTTTAAGCAATCACGTATTCTCTTTTGTTCATATCTAAATAGATCCGATTTTCAAAGATTTAATTATCCAAATTGTGCCATGCATTCTCATCAAGTAGTGTGACACAATTTGGATCATTGAATCTTTGAAAATCGGATCTATCCAAAATTTGACCTTTCTCTTTAACCAGAGAGTCTAGATTAAGGATAGCTAGTGAATCGCTGGTTTGAGTAAATTGAAACTTGTGATCTAAAAGAAATTGGTTTATGCAAGTTTTTTGTTTTTTTAATTATTGAAAAGATTTTCAAGTTTTAAGAAGGTTGATTTTCATGATGTATCTTGTTAGCATAATAATTAGTGTTTCCAACATACTTGTCGAACGTACATCCTTGTAGTTCGCAAGGTTTTTTCTACATTAAAGCCCGAAATAAAATGTATGGTCAAAATGTTCTCTTCTCTTTTTTTTTTTTTCCCTTTTTCTTTTTTTATCGCTAGGATTTGTCAGCTATTCCATTTTGGGTGAAGGGGATTTGAGTTTTCTCAAGTTACGTTCATTTTATTGTTCCGTCCCCTTTCATTCATCTATCTACTTATGGCCCCTTGTTCATATTACTGGTCCACGCTAAGGGCATTTGATCCTTTAAACAGCCTAAAGAACATAACTATATTAGTTATCAAACATGGTTTGAGGATTTTGTTTTTTTGAATTAGGTAGACACATTCATATAGGACTGTCAACGGGCCGGGTCCGGGCCGAAATTCATTATTCCGAACCCGGACCCGAATTACTATGCCGGATCCGGATCCGACCCCGTTTACCCGACGGGTCTTTTATTCTATGTTCCGGATCCGGATCCGGCGGGTCCCGGATCCGGATCCGGGTCTACCCGAACAAATTTACCAAATTTTATAATTTCTAATAAAAATGAGAAAAAAATATATTTGTAAACTGATTTCTAACTAATGCAAAGAAAAAATCAAATAAGAAAAGAAATCAAATTAATTTTATTAAAATACATCACCCTAATCAAATTATATTGATAAATATATATTTTTTAAATTATTAATTCATTTATATCCGGATCCGGGTCTAATACGGGTCGGAATACTATATTCCGTATCCGACCCGTTTTTTTGTTTGACAAAACGGATCCGAATCCGGATCCGGGAAACGGAATTAAATCCCTACCCATACCCGTAATAATTTCACTGATCCGGTCCGGATCCGGGTCTAGACCCGACCCGTTAACAGGCCTACATTCATATAACATGACATCTCCATCAATAATGAATAAAGTTTGAAAAAGGGAATTCAAATGGTATATTGGTCATTAAACACATAAGGGCTATTTAGTCTTTTGCTGCTAGCTTTCAAACAAAAATGTTCTCACTAAGAATTTTTTTTTTTTTTTTTTGCCCTAGCTTGAAATCATAGTATAGTAGTGTCTCCAGTTTGCATCTAGGTGGGGTAAGGTGGAAGTGAGCCCCATAGTTTAAGGGTGCAAACTGTAATTGACCATAAACGTTAAGACTTTTCGGCCTCCCTTCAGCCGCAGGATAATTTCCCTCGGATGGGGCAATTCATTGATTGGCTGTGGCCCTACTGCGGACAATAGAGACCAAGAAAATGACCCAACCTCTATTAGACGAAGAGCCCATCTCCGTCCAGTCATGCGACTATGGTATATTCCATTATTCCCGTCAATAACCACCACCACCACCACCCCCTTAAAAAAAAAAAAAAAAAAACACCTGCGCCCTTCATCGGGCCCACCACCGAAAAAAAATCCTTCCAAAAAAGAAAGGGTAAAATCTCTCGAATTCTAATTAAAAAAGTTTAATATACGAGTTAGCATAGACGATAGTTTCTGAATTCGAAACCTTTTATTTATATTAAAAAAAAAAAGAGTGCACCACGTTATAAGTTGGATATTCGCCATGAGAAAATTCATAAGGTACATAGTGGATAACGCTGGCTTACTTAAAAGCTAACTAGGCCCTTGCAGTATTCATTTGATGGTGCCCCTCTGTTTGAGAACCAATTTACACTCAACTTAGAACTTGATGATTTGCACCTCATTCAACAAAAACTTGTTTGATTCAAGTTCCTCTAATTTTGTTATGAAGTTTCTAGAATACTAAAATGAAGTTGAGTTTGGATAGGCATTGTTTAGATTGCAATTTTTTAAAAATAATAATAATTATTACATTTTTCATAAATATATATTTTTAATCACCTTTTGATTTCATATATATCAAATCGTTATAATAATTTTTTTATAAAAAAATTTTTTTAAAAATATAATCCAAACAAAGCCATATTTGATCTCGAGCGTCGCTAGAAGAGATTCGAATGCAGTAACTTGTACTACTATTGAGCTTCAAAGCCGCAAGAGCCTCGTCCATTACTTGAGCTTTCCTAGTCAAATAATAGAGGGGCTGAATCATGAACGAAGCTCGTGGTTTTTGATGTCTTCTACCGCGTCACTGGCATCTCTCTCTCGCTTTCTCCGACATTTCTGTGACCCCATCAACTAAAAGTCAAACCGGTGTGGTTAAGACGCGTTAGCGTGACTTTAAATGGAGCTGAGATTGGTTTTGAGGATGAATGAAACTCACTCACCGGTCCGACTCATAAATGCCGTGGCATTACTTTTCCACTTTTCTTTAATAAATTCAGTTGCTCACTTTTCTAACACTTGTCAGATACTCAACCTCCTTCATTATACTACATTTCCTTCTTATTAGGGGAGGAAGGTTTCGAATTCGAGACTCTCTACTTTTATCCCCTGTACTTTACATTATCAAATCCATTTCTTCCCTCTGCTTGATTATATTTTACTTTTTCTATTTCTTGCCCTCTAAAGCTAGAAAAAATGCGATTCCCTTCTAGAACGAATCGAGGTTTTGAAGTAACTAGGATCAAGTATCCCTTTTAAAAATCCTCTTTAGCATGAGTACCATATCAAATGGAAACTTAAGCTCCAAAGAACGCATCAAAAAAGTGCTTAAATTATCAGAGTTTTCAATTAAAGTACTTATAAAATATTTAATCATATTGTTCGGATGCATACTTGCATGAGTACTTTTTTTTATTTGATAATATGCACTTTTGAATTTCTAAAACACATGTATCTCTTCATTCAGTTCAAATTTTACAATAAATTTTTTAAAGTTAGTATTTTATTTTTTTTTTAAATATGAAAGTTGCTCTAAAAGCATCATTTTGTGAACTTTTGCTAAAAGTGCTTTAATAAAGGAAAGTTTCGCTATTAAATCCAAGAAATTACGTTTACAATGCACATTAAAAGTGCTCTTCTACTCCAAAAATATATATATATTTTTTTAACAAAAGCACCACAAACTCAAATGGAGCCTAAGTTTAAAAGTATTTTATTGTTGTAGACATCGAGTAAAATTTTACTTGAGTGTGATTTTTAACTTCCGTTTTGGCAAACATATTTAACATTTCAAAAGATAATGACAGTATTTATTTTTTATAATTACTAATGGAGTGGAAATCTTGAACTTTGACTTACTTAACGATAGATTGGCATCAAACCACTGAATTATCGTATTCTATATTGCCTTGTAATTGCCTAAAATGATAGTCAAAGGAAGAAGTAAGATACAATAAAAGTCACCTAGAAATTATAAATTTGGCTTTTAGGTAGCTTTCTTTCACTGGAGTCACTTTATCTGCATATCCGTTCTTATTGTAGAAGTTAATCCACAGATGTGCGAATAAATTTATCACCTTTTCCTTTCGGGGAAAAAAAAAAGGATTTTGGGTCGCTGGCAGGGTAGTTATACTACTGTTAAAGCCATTCATGGCCTGATGGTCTTCCATGCTTGTGGTTAGATACGAAGAAAGACGAAGAATCTTTTTACTGTTTTTTTTTTATATATATAGATATAGATATAGATATAGATATCTGTCAAAGAAAAGCTTGTCAAAGCTTGGCGCATTCAGAATTTTTCTCAATAAAACACAATCAAAAAGTGGCAAAAGCTTGTTGTAGCAAAATCTATGCAAAAATAGCACCTACCAAGCATGCGCTTTGTCCAATTTGAAGGTTTAACATGGAATAAGGGCAGAAATTCTGCAATTGTAGGAGTGGTTTATCAAGATTTGTTGGTTAGATGGATTGCTATTTTTTACAGTTTTTATTGAAAAATATCTTGTAACGATTTGACGTATACGAGGTGAAGAGATGATTGAAAAATATGTTCACCTAACATGTAAAATTTTTTTGAAGAAAAATTGCAATTCAAACAAGATAGTTTTTTTTTTTTTTTTTTTGGAGGAAAATTGCATGTGCATGGGTAGGATGGTTGATTAAGCTTGGAAACTAGGCGCATAAGGTAGTTTAGGGCTAATTTTAACTGCCTAAAGGGTATTATTCTTCAGACAGGATAAATTCCACATACCTTCCTTAAGATTTATCATAATTACAAGAGTCTTCCCCTCAAGTTTGAGAAATACCACTTACTTTCCATACGAATACAAAATGGCTACAATACCTTGAGTCCTTGACATAATACTTAAACCAAAAATACTTGAAGAAAAAGAGTCACTTTTCATCTTCATCCTTGCCACCAATACCTTTTTTGCCTGCCCTTTTTTCCCAATTTGTATCCTCTCAACTCTCTCTATAACCACGATTACCTAGCCCTCCTTTTTCAATCTTTTCTTATAATTTTCCCACCATCACCATCACTTTACTCCAAGTTCTCTCTCAATTTTCTGTCTTCACCAGTATCACTCTGCTCCTTTTCCAAGCCTGAAAGGAGGTCTTTGTAATTATGACAAACCTTAGAGGAGGTACAAGAAATTATCCCTTTTTTGACAGTGCAAACTAGTACTAATACTCCCAAAAGTCAAAGATATTAGCGCTGTGAGCAAAGGAACGAATATCCAAAAGTGCAGCATCAATTATATTCTCAAAGGATAAAATTGATATTTACGTAAGAGTGATCACATACGTGGGCGAATGGACAGTGAAATTTTGAAT